GACTCTCCTGCTGCAGCCCTGGTCCCCGGTTCTCCAGCTGCAGCCCTGGTCCCCGACTCTCTAGCTGCAGCCTTGGTTCTGGTCCCTGACTCTCCAGCTGCAGCCTTGGTTCTGGTCCCTGACTCTCCAGCTGCAGCCCCGATCCCTGGTTCTCCAGCTGCAGCCCTGGTCCCTGGTTCTCCGGCTGTAGTCCTGTCTCCACCACCTGCTGCTGCAGCCTCGACTCCACCACCTGCTGCTGCTGTCCTGTCTCCACCACCTGCTGTTGCAGCCTTGTCTCCACCACCTACTGCAGCAGCTTTGACTCCACCACTTGCTACAGCAGCCTTGACTTCACCACCTGCTGCTTATCTGGACCCCAACTCATCTGCTGAGGCTCATGGCTCAACTGAGGTCCTCGGCTTTGCTCCTGGTCTACCTGAGATCCTCACTCTTGGCTCGTCGGCTGAGGTCCTCGCTCCTGGCTCGTCGGCTGAGGTCCTCGCTCCTGGCTTGTTGGCTGAGTTTCTCACTCCTGGCTCTTCTGAGGTCTTGCTCCCGGCCCAGCCACAGAAGATCCCAGCCCGCCTGAGGTCCTTGCTCCCGGCTCAACCTCAGATAATCCTTGCCCGCCTGAGGTCTTCATACCCGGCCCAACCGTAGAAGATCCCAGCCCGCCTGCAGAGGTCTTTGCCCCTGGCCCGCCTGCAGAGGTCTTCATCCATTGCCTGCCTGCAGAGTTCTTCGCCCCTGGCCCACCTGCAGAGGTCTTCGCCCCTGGCCCGCATGAAGAGGTCCTCGTTCCTGGTCTACCCCCTGGTCTGCCCGAAGAGGTCCTCACCCCTGGTCTGCCTGAAGAGGTCCTCACCTGCATGAGTCGAGGTGGACACAGGTGGATGCCCCTGCAGCCCACAGTTTAACAGTCTCCTGGCTGCCTGTCAGGACCTAGGCCTGTGGATGGACAGTTCCCAGGTCACCCTCCTGACCCCCTGCCTCATTAGGGACGGTCACTGGACCATCCGCTTGAACTCCAGACCCACCTTGGCCAGTCTTCTGACCGTCTACCTTGACCCTGGGTTGGAGTCCTGGGTTTTTGTGTTTAGTGTTCCCTAAAGTTTGTTCCTACTGGTTTTTTATTCTTTTGGTCCTGTGTCTACTCGTCCTGCTCTGTCCTGTCTTGTCCCACCTCCCACCCAAGTTGGATGTATCTTGTTCTTGGGATGTCAGGAGCCATCCCTTGAGTGGGGGGTACTGTAGGGTTTCTGGGATTTTGCCCTGTCTCTATCTGTTTCCTTATGTTTCCAGTTCTGCTCTAAGTGTTTTCCCTACCTATGTTCAGCAACTGTCTCACCTGTGTCATGTTAATCACCGCAGGTGTCTGTCCTTGTCCTAATCAGTGTGTGTGTGTATATATTCAGTTCACTGGTATATTGTCTTTGTCTCAAGATTGTCCTTATGGTGTGTTTCTGCCTTCCATCCTGTGTCCTGTTCTTCTGTGAGTATGCTGCCCTGTCAGCTTTTGCTTTGCTTTGTTTTTGTAAAATAAATACTTTGATTTTCCACAAGCCTCCTGTCATCCTCCTGCACTTGGGTTCAACACTCCTGATTGCAGAACACAATCGTTGGATGTAACTGGGACCCTGTGAACATAATTTCATTCCACCACATGTGCAAATGACAAATAAAGAAACTCTGACTCTCTGATTTTCAAAGATTAGCTTTAGACTAGTCCAAAATTCAGTCCTAAAATCTCAAGAAAGTTTATGCATTTTGGTCAGTAGTTGTATTGAAAGCCTTTAAAATTTGTAGATTTTTTGTAGTTTCATTTAAAATGCTCCTCCTAAAACCAAAACTTTTCTGACCTGCAGTGCTGGGATCTATAGAGTTGTCCACGACATCCTTCTTGGCTTTATACATCACAGTAAGGCTGGTAAGCAGAGTCTGCAGTTGGTCCAGTTTGGACTCCAAATCAGGAGCTCCCACGTTGGCTGGAAGATCCTTATCAACTCTGTCCACATCATCCCTGTAAGATTTTAGAGGTTGGTGAACAATGAAAGCAACATTTCATTTGAACATTGTCCAAAAAAAAAAAAGATTAAAGGCAAAAACAACTGGACTTAATTTTGTAGCTGAAGATGTTTCACTTCTCATCCGAGGAGCTTTCTCATTTCAAAGTACAGGGAGCGTGTGGTATTGAGTTATAAAGCTGTGGTGTTCTGTAAGCAAGGTTGACATGCAGATTGTCCTCTCACTCCTCACAATAGAGGTTTGTTAGAGGCACTATTTACATGGACACGGTGGGGGGAAACTTAGGTTTTTTTTTGTATGTTAATTAGTGGGAAAGAGCTGTGTTGACATGAATGGATTTTGTGTTTACATGCATCTGGAGAAATCCACCCCAGGCCACTGAATCTCCTTTAGTTACCATGCCAAATCATTAGTTGGTGCTGGGAATTTTGTACATTCACCTAATGCGCATGCATGCTCTCGGACCGCTTCCTGTAAGGACTTTCCTCTGGGCGAAAAGCTCAGCTAACAACATCCTAACAACAAGTTAAAGCTGGATTTTGGCTGGATTTTGAATAAGTCGACAGATTTGACGCCAAGCAGGACCGCTTCATCTAACAGCTCCACACCGGTCGCTGAGTGGACCAGAACCGAGTCGACAATGATGATGTCGGACTTTAGTCCGTGATAATCAGTAGCTGATTTACTGCAGGTAAATCAACATTCTTAATGTTTGCTAATGTTTGCTTGTGTTTACTTTCATTACAAAACAACAAACTGAGTTTTCATTTTTCCTGCGAGGAGAAGCTGTCCTCCAACCAGGCGGACCGATTTTGAACGAAGCTCGGCCCAGGTACAGTGTAGGAGGACGTCGAAGAGAGAGATGTTGTATGAACTATCTATTTAAAATTCCCCTCAGTTCTTTTATTCAATCCATTCAATGTTTTAAGCTGCATTAATCAAAGGAGTGACAGCTTGAATGAGCCAGATGAACAACATGGGAGCAGTATCAAGGATGAAAACAGAGAGCAGAGTCCAGTTCATCAATGTAGTTTACAGTTCGGTTAACTTGTTTTAATAGTGTGTTCAGTTTAATTATCAGTGTTTGTGTGACATAAAGTTTGTGGTGTTGAATAAATAAATACAAATTAAACTTGATGTCTTCATTTTCAACTTTAATAGATAGAGAACTTTACTAATTGGCTTTTATGTATGTGAATGTTCCTATAAAGTGCCCTGAGACAACTTTGTTGTGATTTGGCGCTATATAAATAAACTGAATTGAATTGAATTAATAACACGCAACATGTTTTGCATTGTTTAAATCACATAACTTGAAGTACATACAGTATGTCCAGATAACTTCATTTAGCTCAGATAGCTTCAATATGTCTTCTCCCTCCCCTCTGCTGATGACATTGCTGACATTATCAGCAAGTCTAAGTCCTCATCCTGTCAACTTGATCCATTTCCCACAGTTCTTGTTAAATCCTGTCTCCTGTCTCTGCTCCCCATCAACACTAACATCATCCACTCCTCCCTAACCTCTGGCATTGTTCTCACAGCTTTCAAATCTGCGGCCATCACCCCCATCATCAAGAAACCAGGTCTTGACTTTACCAACTTCAGTAATCTTCGTCCAATCTCTAAACTGCCCTTTTTTTTCCAAAGTTCTTGAAAAAGCCGTTGCTAGTCAACTTCACTCTCACCTATCCAACAATAACATTTATGAAGAGTTTCAATCTGGTTTTCGCCCCCACCATAGCACTGAAACAGCTCTAATAAAAATAAATAATGACCTTCTTCTTGCTGCTGACTCTGCTCTTCTGTCTATCCTCATTTTACTGGATCTAAGTTCTGCCTTCAACACAATCTGTCATTCTATCCTCCTCAACAGACTAACCTCCATTGGCATCTCAGGTACTCTGTTAGACTGGTTCAAATCATATCTCTCTGACCGAACTCAATTCATTCAGCTCAAATCCTTTCGTTCCCAGTCTTCCCCCGTCTCCACGGGTGTCCCCCAAGGCTCTGTCCTCTGACCCCTCCTCTTCATCATTTACCTCCTTCCTCTAGGTCACATCTTCCGTAAATTTGATGTCCATTTTCACTGTTATGCTGATGACACACAGCTCTACCTGTCAACAAAACCAAACTCCGCCCACCCACCCTCCATCCTCACCGACTGTCTCAATGAACTAAATCACTGGTTTTCTAACAATTTTCTACAACTAAACAGTAACAAAAAAGAAATCATTCTTGTCGGTACCAAAAACTCTCTTTCAAAATCAGAAAATCTTCTCATCCCCCTTAACAACTTTCTGCTATCCCCCTTGCCTCAGGTCAAGAGTCTTGGTGTCATCCTTGACACCACTCTCTCCTTCACTTCACACATCAACAACGTCACTCGGTCTGCCTATTTCCATCTCCGAAATATTAACCGTCTCCGCCCTTCTCTCACACCCCACTCCACAGCCATCCTTGTTCACAGTCTTGTGACTTCTCGGATTGACTACTGCAACTCCCTTCTTTATGGCCTCCCCAACAAATCTCTCCAGAAGCTACAATTGGTCCAGAACTCAGCTGCCCATGTCATCACTCAAACCTCCTCCTATAACCACATCACTCCAGTCCTGCAGCAGCTCCACTGGCTCTCGGTTAAATCACGCATCGTCTTCAAAATTCTTCTTCTCACTTTCAAAGCTATCCACAACCTTGCCCCTCCGTACCTATCTGACCTCCTACACATCTCCATCCCCTCTCGCTCTCTCAGATCCTCCTCTTCACTACACCTCCATGTACCCTCTGCCCGCCTCTCCACCATGGGGAGCAGGGCCTTCACCTGCTCTGCTCCTCATCTCTGGAACTCTCTACCCCCTGACTTAAGAAACACCACCTCTCTTTCTCTATTCAAGACTGCTCTGAAAACACATCTCTTTAGACTCGCTTATCCTTAACTTTGCTCTATGTATTTTATATTCTTTATGCATTTTATATTCTGTATGTATTTTATATTCTTTATGTAATTTATTCCTGTTGATCTTTGTTCTTACTGTAGTGTCCTTGGGTGTCATGAAAGGCGCTTTTTAAATAAAATGATGATTATTATATTATTATTATAATATATAACTCACACTAACATAAATACTGTTTATTATTATTAAACTTATTATTTAGCACATTTAAGTATGTTATAGTGCAGCGCGACGTGTGCACCTGCCTCTACAGGCTCGTTCTATAAACAGCGATATTAGAACTGGATCAGACTGTGTCTCTTCCAACACAGATGTCTGTCACAGCAGCTAGATTCGGACGTATATTAACTATGAGATTAAAAATATATTCCATCAATCATAGTTCAGAAAGCACAGTGTCTGCCACCATGTTGATAGAAATGCTGTCTGTCCACGCGTGCGTGTGTGCATATGGTTTAACACAAAGCCTCAGCAGGAGATATTTACATTATCAGCGGGTGGTCAGCGAAAAACCTGCACTCTGGAAGGTGGGTTCAGAAACCTCCGGATTCAAAGAGGGGGGCCACTGGTGTCGTGTAGATGAACAGCAGAACCACAGAGAGAACGGAGTGGGTTCACTCAAAATATGCGCTGTGTAAATGGCCCCAGAGTCTTTGTTAGTCTGACTCACAGATGGACCACTCTGATCACATGAATAAAGGTCTTCATTGTTGGTGAACTGACTGGGTATCAGTCCTCAATCCCACCGGCATGTCTTCCACTGAGGAAATGGAGCCTGGGGACTCTGGGTTGGGCCCTCCAATCTCTGGTGCTGAGGTCACCGAGGTGGTTAAAAAGCTCCTCAGTGGCAGGGCCCCAGGGGTGGATGATATTCGCCCGGAGTTCCTTAAGGCTCTGGATGTTGTAGGGTTGTGTTGGTTTACGCGACTCTGCAGTATTGCGTGGACATCGGGGGAAGTTCCCCTGAATTGGCAGACCGGGGTGGTGGTTCCCCTATTCAAAAAGGGGGAGCATAGAGTGTGTTCCAACTATAGGGGGATCACGCTCTTAAGCCTCCCTGGAAAGGTCTATTCGGGGGTTCTGGAGAGGAAGGTCCATTGGATAGTCAAACCGCGGATTCAGGAGGAGCAGTGTGGTTTTCGTCCTGGTCGTGGAACACTGGACCAGCTCTACACTCTCAGCAGGGTCCTGGAGGGTGCATGGGAGTTTGCCCAACCGGTCTACATTGGCTTTGTGGACTTGGAGAAGGCGTTCAACCGCGTCCCTCGGGGAACCCTGTGGGAACCCTGTGGGAACCCTGTGGGAGGTACTCTGGGAGTATGGGTTACCCGGCCCTTTGATACGGGCTGTTAGGTCCCTGTATGACCGGTGTCAGAGCCTGGTTCGCATCGCCGGCAGTAAGTCGGGCTTGTTCCCGGTGAGAGTTGGACTCCGCCAAGGTTACCCTTTGTCACCGATTCTGTTCATAACTTTTATGGACAGAATTTCTAGGCGCAGCCAAGGTGTTGAGGGGATCCATTTTGGTGGCCTTAGGATTGCGTCTCTGCTTTTTGCAGATGATGTGGTCCTATTGGCTTCATCAGATCATGATCTACAGCTTTTGCTGTAGCAAAAGCCATGTCACAGCCGAGTGCGACACGGCCGGGATGAGGATCAGTTCCTCCAAATCCGAGGCCATGGTCGTGACCCAGAAAAGGGTAGATTGCCCTCTTCGGGTCAGGGAGGAGGTCCTGCCCCAAGTGGAGGAGTTCAGGTATCTTGGGGTCTTGTTCACGAATGAGGGAAAAATGGAACGTGAGATTAATAGGTGGATAGGTGCAGCGTCTGCAGTGAATCAGGTGCTATACAGGTCTGTCGTGGTGAAGAGAGCGCTGAGGCAAAAGGCGAAGCTCTCAATTTACCGATCGATCTACGTTCCTACCCTCATCTATTGTCATGAGCTTTGGGTTATGACCAAAAGAACAAGATCTCGGATACAAGCGGCCGAAATGAGTTTTCTCCGCAGGTTGTCTGGGCTCTCCCTTAGAGATAGGGTGAGAAG